CTGGTGTTTCAGTCGCGGTGGTAGATCGTACAAGTTGGTGGCCCTCACTTACCCACAAGTTTATATGAATGTTGCTGCAGCGTTTGAGGTGCTGTGAAAGAACCTGCGGATGCCTTGAAGTTTACGGCGGGGCTGGCTCAGTAGTCTTAGCATCCCTTCAGGATATTTCAACACCATGCTAAGATGTTGAAGTTGCTCTCCATGACCAGTGGTCACTGGGATCCCTGCAGTACTTGTAAAAGGATTTCAAGCTGTCAGTTCTTCCTGAATCGCATGGCAGGCGCTTCCAATCGATTCTGATGCTGCCGGGCACCCCGGAATGCGAAAGATCACTGCCCTTTACTGAAAATTCGCGAGGGATAACGCACTTAAAGCAGATCATTAGCTTCATTCAGTGTTCTGAGACTTCCTGCGCTGGAACTTTACAATCAATCCTCAAGAGTGACTCAGATGTGATCCCCCAGGCCCCTTACTAAGGCCATGAGTCCTATAGGGCCACCCAGAGCTCACAGTTCTCAGAAGCTCTCCTATGAGCTATAGTCTAAACTCCTTCAAGGGAGGTTGTATGGAGTATATAGGGGACTACCATAGGGATTATGAAGGGGGATGCCAGGAGTTTAGACTATGGCTCATAACTTCAGTCATGCGTGCTGAGAGCCCGTGCTCTGTGAGTATTGTTCTGGCAGTCCATGGAGCCCAGATGAGAAAGACTATGCCTCATATGGGTGGTTGTCAAAATTCAGGTCCCTCTTTGGATCCCTATCATAGTACGGCACCTAATATTTAGGGTACCCTAAAAGGATCATAATTTTGAAAAGCGCCGGCAGGCCTACATCCCGGCACCAGGCAGCCTGCTGGATCAGCGAATCGCAGACTTCACCAACGGCAGAAGGACATCTCCTTGCACGTTATATGGTAGTTTTTTTTGAATCGGGGGGGCCCCCACCCAACAATACGGTAGTCCTTATTATGAGGACCCCAAAGAGGCACCCCCGGTTTCGAAACCCCGAAAAGAATTTAGTCCGAATTTAACAACAGCTGGGAAACAACAGTGCGTCCCGAACCATCGCAGCTCAGCTAGGAGTATTTTACTTTTCAGCTGGAGGAATCTGGTGCTGTTTACCAGGTTGAAGGAGGAGGCGGGCATTTGCCATAGATTTGCTGTTCTTCCTTGGCCATGGTGCCTGTAGAGTAAAATTGGTGTTCCAAGAGCATGCGGTTGTTTCAAGATCGACATGTTGCGTGTAATCCAAATCCCACGCAGGCCAGTACCTTTTGCACTTCCTCCTAATTTTGCTTTGTGTGCGGGAATCCTGATGCTGTACAGTTGTTCTAACTTGACATGTTAACTGAAACCATTTCAAATGCCACGCAGGTTCGTGCCAAGAGCATGCGATGATCAGAGCATTCATGCTCAAACCATAATTCATCATTAGGGATTATTTCAAATTAGGTACCTCTTAGCGACTGTTCGAAATAACTCCCTTGTTAGGGATTGTTTCAAAATAGAGACTTATTAGGCACTATTTCAAACTGGGGATTAGTCGGTATTATTTCAAATTGGTGACTCATTAGGGACTAGATCAAATTAGGGACTCATTAGGGACTAGTACAAATCAGGGACTGCTTAGGGACTGTTCGAAATCACAGTCTTCTTCGGGTTTATTTCAACGTAGATTGTCATTGACTATTTGAAATTACGGCCTGTTTAAACTCTAGCAAAACCCTCTGCTGCAACGTGCCTGTTCTAATTTCACATCTTGCGTGTACTCGAAATCCCACGAAGGCCGGTAATTTTTGCATTTCCCCTTGATTTTATTCTACGGGCAGTGCTCCAACGCGTACCTAGTAGTTTCCATTTTCTTTTCCATTATCCTTATTTAATTTAACCCTAGATTGTACCCTTATTTTCCCTTTTGTCCCAAGGCCCTGGCATCGCCAAGTGCCTCTGGTTAAGAAAGATTAATGGACTCATGTAGGTTTAGGGGTTTAGGGTTCAGGGTTTCGGATTTATAGACCAATGGAAGCGCTCCCCCTCTCCCCAAGTTGTTGTAGTGATGAGGTCGTCTCAATCATCTTGTGTTCATGAATATAGAACTGCCAATGGCAGCTTGCGAGAAATAGCCAATACCTAAAACTGTTGTAGATATGAATTATCTAGGGATCGTATAGGGGACAATTCTAGGGCCTATTGACAGGGATGCCTACAGTTCATGTACATGTTTGATCTTGCATCCATCTAACACATTGCTGCTGCAGTTTCGGGTTGAGGGTCCCTAAGCCCTGACAGCCTAAAACCCTAAAAACCTAAAAGCCTAAAAGCCTAAAACCCCAAAAGCCTAAAGCCCTTAAACCCCAAACGCCTAAAGCCCTTAAACCCTAGAAGCCTTAAACCCTAGAAGCCTAAAACCCTAACAGCCTAAAACCCTAAAAGCCTAAAACCCTAAAACCCTAAAAGCCTAAAACCCTAAAACCTGGAACCTGCAGGGTTTCTACCTTTTCGGTCGCCTCCTGGTCCAATGCTCCTTGTGTCAACCCGCCCAGATCTGAGGAGGATTGAGTAGCCATGCCTAGAACATGTAGGGTTTAGGGCTTAGGGTTTAGGATTTTGAGTTTGGGGTTTGGGGTGTAGGGTCTATAGTGTAGGGAGAATAGAAAAGGTCCAAACGAGGAGGAACATGCTCTAATCAACGGATCTTCCCTTACCGTTCAAGATCTTTATCCAAGCAGGATGTACGGCAGAAAACTAATAGGTTCCGCGTTGTCCTCACATATGGTCCCATTCTTTGGACGAGGATTGACCTTGATGATTTGCAACCTGAGGCAACCTACGGTTCCCAGTCGCATGGGTTTAGACGTATCTCGAGGACCTTCTTTCAATCTCAGGTTTATTTCAAGCGGTTGAAGGACATGCAACTGCAGTCAAATGCTCCGCCATTTGCAAGCCAAGGGCCGAAATGAGGCTGGCGTTCTGGTGCAAGAGCTGGACAGCTTCCCCCTGAGACATGCGATGTGGTGCCTAACTGTGTGCTTTCTGGAGTTTCTCAGCTGGCATGAGGTGATGACGTGTATACTATTGAAGATTTCTTGTGAGAAGCTCAGCATGGTGGCAACCAGTCGGCGTTGCAGAGTCTTTGTGCTGAGGAGACCCTCCCATTTGAAATGCGTGACCAGGTTATTCCCCATGCATATCCTAAGAAATCCCCAAGGAAGTGGCCCCAGTTTGGATCCAGACACTACAAGTCATCCCCGGACCATCCTCATCCAACAATTTTTTGTCTGAAAGGGAAAGATTCGAGTTCTTCGAGCACGAGCAGCTTGAACAGCCGCCCGTCATGTAACGAGTAGTTCGAAACTGGATGCCGCAATGCCTATGGTCAATCTCATCGATACAGTCTCTTATTGAGTAAGGGTTAGTTTTTTGCTTCCTGACAGCAAGGCTTGCCAAAGCCAGACCTCTCCCAGTTCTTCAGAGTTCTTCTTTGTTAGAACTGCCGCTACAAACGTTGCTATGAGTGCTACGTTTGCACAGAGCGAAAGGATGAACAGCAGTAACAGCTACATGTGCAAGACCTGGCAGCTGCTGCTGCTGCTGCTGTTGCTGCTGCTTCCGTTCAGGCATTCTTCCTTTCACATTTGTGCGAAGTGTCTATGGGGTTGAAAGGCCAGGGTTCCTTGTGTCCTTGTCGTTTTGAAAGACGTGTTGAAGATTTGGAATTGACAGTCTTGTCTGAGGCACTTTCTAGCTGCAGTGCAGGGTACCACGGCAGGCCGTGAAGGGGTGTTCAAGAGTCACGTGGGGTGATGCGCTGCAAGACCTTCTCGCGAGCATGCTTACTCTTCTGGAAGCAATATACCCCAACATATTCCCTATTATACTATAGTAGTTTCCATTTTCTTTTCCATTATCCCCCATATAACCCCAATATTACCCCAATATAACAATCTTTCCAAGCGTCCTGTCTGCTCCATCTACCAGGCATGGAGCCGGTGACCCGCCTACAACAGGGTCAATACTAGCTGCTATGAGTCTGCGCGCGCTTTTTGCGGAGCCAAAGTGCTCAAGACTGCAAGCTGGAGCCCAAAGCATGGCCTCTGCGAAGCAAACAGCCTATGATGTGAGCCGCAGCCGCCGTAGCCTTTTGCTATAAGGACGCATCTTGTATCAGCGGCATGAACATTTCGCAGAGAAGTAAAGATGCGTTGTCCACTCTACCCCTATTCCCTCGACTACAAAATTTTGATCCATCGACACGAGTTTAAAACGCGGCGGCATCTGTTCAGCAAAGTCAACCGGTCTGCCTTCAATACTTATTTCGCTCCGCGTCGTGTAAAAAGCTGTAGAGCCCTGAAGATGGTGTTGCAGGTACCCCATGTGCCCATGCCGTGTCTCCATGGTAATCCGCTGAAAAAATTGCTTGAAATTCTTGTAAAATTCTTGCCAAACCTCAGCGTTTGCAGCGAATGGGCATTTTCATGCTTTGCTGGGCTTGAGCTGGAAGCAGTGTCTACATGGGGATCCAAGTTATCTGTTGCGTAAATTCCTCGCCCACGCGCGTTTTTTCCAATCCCAGCATCAGTGAGGTAATCCCACCAGCACTGGGATGGAGGCAGACTAAAGAGACTGTGACCGGGAGAAGCTGCCCGCTGTTTTCGGTCACTTTTCAGAGTTGTTACAGGTGGCTTTTGCTCAGTTCTCCTATTGTTGGAAATCGGAAGAAATCGGGAACTTTAGCAACACATGTTGAAAGAGCTTGCGCAATATGTCTTAGCCAACCTGCGCTGCCTGGAAGCCTGCTGATCCGTCCAAACCCCACCCCATAGAATCACCATGGCCTGTCAGGGAACAGCCGCTGGCAAGTGGAGCAGCTTGACCCACGTCTTCTGCATCGGTTCCTTCATCTTCCCATGCACGATGTTGAGTGCCCCAGCCTGTCTGTCTCAAGGTCAAGTGGTGTCCAGGCAAGAATGCTGTTGCAGAAAGCTGCACATTTGAAGCCATGAGCTACAAAGGAGGCAAAGGCGGATGGAGCGAGCAGGGGTCCAAGGGGCACAAGGGCCAGAAAGGGAAGCCACAGAATCCGACTGGCGGCTACGATGCGCTGAAAGGTCAGAAGGGAAAGTCGGACAACAGGACTTCAGGAGGCAAAGGGCCGGTCGTAGATCACCTACTCGTCCCCATCCCGTGCACCGATGCTTCGAAGGTTCACGAGGTGCTGTGGTCAGGCGGGACATGGAGAGCCAACATAATAGTATAAATAAACAATTAACAGCCGTTATAGCAGCAACAAGAATAGTAATAAAAACAGGTATTCTTGTTTTTATTGTTCCCATAAGTATTGAATTGTAGCTGTGATTATTTCTGGGTTCCCAGCAACGGGATGTCTCCCCAGAGACTATTGCAGGTGACGATGAGGGCGGCAGCGAGGAGGGAGTCCGTGCTTTCAATCACAACCACATCCTGGGTGGGGTGGGAGAGCTCTACTTTGAGGTGTCCGGGCAGTTGCTTGGCCTTTGGAGGGCATAGCGGGCGTTTTGGGACACATTGGAGATTAGAGAGTTTCTTTAAGCTTTTAAAGTGCCGCGCAGATAGCTTTCTTTGCTCGTTTGAGTTCAAGGTGCCGCATTCAGCTGGCCGTGCCAGCATCAACAAAGATGTCCTGTGAGGACTACAGGAAGTTCCATGTGCCCACCACTGTTGCGGGGCGTTCTTTTAAATCCGTGAATGATCTGCAGAAGGAGATTGTGCACATACGGGATAGGTCCGATGGAAAGCTGGATGCGGCTCAGGAAGAGCTGATGGTAGCAGTCTTCGAGTATCACCCAGAAGCTCAGCGAAAACTGAAGGGCATGCAGTTCATCGCAGTTGGTCCGAACTCCAAGTCAAACGACCCACGCGACCGCAGCTTCTACATCATGACCAGCGAGAAGGATGGCGATGATATCAGCTACATGAAATGCTTGAGGCGATTGAGTGAGCTGGCATCGCAGCAAGCTGCAGGAGAGCATGTGATTCCTCTGGCAACAGTGACCGCTAAGTACGAGGGCCTGGCTATCCAGATGGGCTCAAGCGATATCCTGGTGGAACCTGGGGCTTTGACAGTCTTCGGCGTGAGGGTGGAGCTGAGCCGCAAGTTGCTGTCCTTACACACGCAGACGAGAGTCTATGGTCCCTGGGAGTTGAATCATGCCAGCGATGACAGATTGTACGTTGTGGCAGACATGTTTCGTGACGATGTGACGGCCTTTTGGAAGGCTCCATTCCAAGTCCTGCGTGGCAACGTGCAAGCGCAGCCGCAGGATGTGAGCGCTTCTGCAGAGCCCTCACTCAGGCTTTGCTTGGATACCCTCGCTCAACAGGCCGGAGTGTCTGGTGTCTTCACCACATCCTCGGATGAGGAGCTAGAACATGCGGCTGGGCAGGCAGTGGTGAAGGCTTTGTCAGCCTCAGCCCAGGTGGTGCGTTCCAGGGCGGGGGCTTCTGCACAGATTCAGAGCCTGCACACTATGGCAAAGCACCAGGCTTATGAGCTACTGCAGGAAGCTCTGCATCATTCGCAGACGAAGCTTCGCAAAGCAGAGGGTGAACGAGAGTTAGCCCAGCTGTCAATCAAGGAACTGCAAGATGAGTTGGCTAAACTCAGGCCTCTCATCTTCCCGCCTGAGGCACCACCACCCGCAGAGCAAGGAACACAGGACCCAAACCATGAGGCCGAATGTCCCAAAGGCAGTCCCGTGAGAAGCCATGGAGATTCTGCCAATATTGCAGACATCGAAGCGTTGAGCAAGCAGCTCAGAGAACACCTTCCAGAGCCCGCTGCAACGATGCTGCGGAATTCCTTGAGCCTGATGTCTAGTGAGCTTTATTCCGGACCTTCCCGGGCCCTCTGGGAATTATTGCAAAATGCGGATGACTGCAAATATGAGGATGCCCCGCACATCAGGATAGTTGAGCGTTCCAAGTACCTCTGGCTCCAGTACAACGAAACTGGCTTCAATTTCGAAGATGTTAAGGCACTGTGCAGCCTCGGCATGTCCATGAAAGGGCCAGGACAAACGGGCCACAAAGGAGTTGGATTTAAAGCAAGTTTTGTCTTGTCCTCCCGCCCGCATGTTCTCTCAAATCCATACCGGCACCTTGTCTCAATGTTGCAATTTGTCTTGCAGCCTGGTATGGATTTAAGTCGCTGGCTGGTGTGTGGTTGTATGAAAAGGATGGTTGTCCGTTTTGTCCTTGCTGCAGAACCAAATCGTCAGATAGGTTTTTCTTCGATGACGAGTCTGACTGCATCTTGCCGCACGTGACGCCGCAAGTGCTTCCGTCAGACAGCTCCTTTCCAGAAGAGTTGCCATCAAGCGGCACTGCCATCTACCTCCCTTTGCGCAAGCCGGTGCCTGATCTGCTCAAGGAAGTGGTGCTGGCCTTAGCAATTATCCTCCTGCTGACATGCCCAATCTGGGGTTCCCCTGATAAGGATTGCAGTCTTTGGGGGGGCATATTAGGGGTTCCCATGCCCGCCCCTCAATAATTGGCCCCGCAAGGGGGGGTTGGAGTCACTCTCCGCCCTGCTCATTTTGCCACTCTCCCAGGTCTATTTGTGTGACTGTGGGATCCGGTCAAGACATGAGCCCCGGAACATGACTGCTGCTGCATTGTATGGCATAGTTGTGCAGTTTCACATGCCCTGCCACATGAATCTATGGAATTGGGAGGCTGGTCCAAGACCTCCTGTACGTACAGTATGTTTCGCAGGGAATCAGCCCAGCCAGATTCCTCCAGCAACCCCCATCTTGCTGGGAGTCTGGTTCCCCGCGGGCCCATAATCAGAGATAGCTGAGGTGCCCTCGACACTACTATTTTTGCACCAGCTGCGGTCCCTTTCGCTGGAAAGTGGCGGGCAGATGCGCATTTATCAGCGGCGAGGGGGGGACAAAGGACCAGTTGAAGTGATGGAATCGTCAGAACCTGTGCAGAAGCATGAGTACCACGTGGCACGCAACTTGGACAGTACCATTGCTGTAGCTTTTCCTTTGAACAGCCATTTGGATGCGGCGCAGATTTCAACAACACTTCCTCTGTGTGGTTTGCCTGGGCTGAAGACACCATTGGACGCACCCTTTGAGCTGACAGCGAATCGCGAAGCGCTGCTGGACGTACTGGTAAAACGTAGTCGATGGCGTGCATGTTGGGATTAAGCTGAGATGCTCGGGGGGCTCCGTATCAAGTGGGTCATACCCAAGCGAACCCTAACTAAGGGACTTCCAACAGGGGACTAACAACCCCCCCCCGTTTGAGAATCCTCTTAGTCCCTCGGGCCTTCAAGTAATCATCATTATAAATCCCCGTCCTGCGTAACCCCAGTTTCCATGTAAGAGTTCATTTGATTTTCCGTTAGTGGGGCATTATATCCCCTAGATAAACATATAAGCCCCATACACCCAGCGCAACCCGTACACAAATCCGTTTCCCGAAAAAGGGGAGCCCAACACAGACGCCGATTCTTTATTTTGGGAAACCCCTAGCATCCCTAACAGCCAACATATAATCACAGTTTCCATTTTCATTTTCCATTTTTAAAATTTTCTTGTCCATTTGATTCTCCATTATTACCACATAACATGGCACTTTCCTAAGCCCGAAACCTTCCAGGAGGGCAGCGCGAAGAATGCTGCATTACGGGACGGCTTGGCTCAGCTTTGGCTGGAGGCCGTGGAGGCTGCGCAGGACACCTGTGAAAGCAGTCGGGAGTATCACCGCAATAATGGGTCATATAGGGATTATGTCGGGTGTGTACACGGATTATACAGGGATTCTATTGGGGGGGAACAGGCATCTACGTTGCAAATCCCATCATCTCGAAGTATACCCTTTTTTCTGTGTTAGACAAGCTCCTCATGCTGAATGGAAGAGATTTAGCCTAAAACCCCAGGGCTCCTTTCACCCCCTGCGTACCATTATTTCTCCCCTACGTCATATAATCTTATAGAACCCTATACGCATGTCCCTTATATAATCCCCTGTAAATCACATGCAAGGAGGGCTCAGCTCTGGCTGCCAGGGCCTGGATTCTCCAACCGAAGCCCGAGCTGGCACAGCTGCCGTTTTGGGCGCCCTTTCTTCATCGGGTGCGTTCCTGGGTTGGCTTTGGGCATAAATTGGGCGTGTTCAACGACCCCTCGCCTCATCATTCATATGCATATAGTATGTGTGTTATGTATACACATCCAGAATTTTTCCTACTTGTTCTTTGAAATTGAAAGCATGCTTTTTTCAAACAAGATCCGGGTGAGGTTCTGGGCTTCAGGAGATCTCTTTGGTGCCAGTGATTGGAGGCACCAGCTTGAAATGGTAGGAGAGACTAGACAAAGCCTGAACGAGACAGGTCTGAACAGAGCTTTGGAAGAACTTAGGGTTTAGGGATCCCCGCAGTTTGAGCCTTTTGTAGCAGCGTTATCGCATGTGGGTGATTCTGCATGCTGAGCCATCTCATGACGTCCAGTCAACACTGGACGCAGTGCATTTCTGAGCCCTACAGCTCAAACCCTAACGCCCGCCTTCTCCAGTGCCAGGCAAGAGACCAAAAAAGCCTTGCGATTCTTCAGCCTTGCGAGTGGGTAAAGCTCTACCTCAAATCCTAAGCTACAGCAAAGGAGTACCTCCCAGACCAACAGAAGAACAGGTGTCAGTGGAACCTCATTCAGTTTCCCATCGGAACACGCTTTGCAGTCCTGCTGAATAACGTGGCGTTCTACATTTCCAGAGAGCTCTTTAACAGATGGCCGCTTAAACCGCCATGACGTTTCCAACATGTACACTGCCCACGTCGCAATGCAAGTTCAACTATCATTCTAAACCAAGTAGAACTTGCTCTTTACGCCTTAGATTCTGTGGAGGTAGTGGCAGCAACCACCGCTTGCCGGTAACTCGCTGCCGCAAAGCAGATTCGCGTCTTCTGAGAAACTGGTGCCAGCATTTAGGGTTTGGAGGGAGTCGGGGAGTGAATCTAGGATAGTCTAGGTACTGCGGTGCGGGTATGTGTAGGCATTACTGTAGGGATCCCTTTAGCCCTTTAGCGTCAGCAAGTAAGAGTTTGTAAGAATTTTGATTTCGGAGTAGAATGAAGAGTCCCTTTGGCCCTAAGTGAGGTTTTCGTGTTTGGGGGTGTTCAAGGGGCAATCCCTGTTTCCGGAAATCCCCATGTGCTGAAAATAGGGGATCTGAAGTGCTGATGGCTGTTGCCCTTTGCAATGGTTGACGTGGGAGGGAAGGTTTTAAGCAAGCTCCTGGGCCAGAGAAGGTACATGTTCATATGGCAGGTGATATTTAACAAAGGTTTCGCTTTTGAATACCCCCAAAACCCTAACCCCTAATCCCTAAACATTAAACTCTAGATCCTAAACCGCATACTTTCTGGTTGCATCTCTGTGGCCTGTGGAGCCCAGAGTGTGGCGAACGTTTTGTTTTGACTCTTGTCGTAAGATACCGGTCATGAGTCTTGAACCCCCTTCCCCGATAACGAAGAACTCTAGGAATAACCATTTTCCTATTCATATAGATTGGAACAATACTCGTAGTAGTAACAATAACAGGAATATTAACAATGACGCAAATCATGGTTTGACAGGGGGGGAATGTTTATTATCAGGGAGTTTGGGGCTTTATGATGAGGGGTCCCCTGAACCCTAAACTTTTGACAGCCAAGCGGGAGGGAATAAAGCCTAAACCCCAAACCTAGTCCTCAGGAGAACTCTCCCTTGGACCTGATGAGCTGCAGCTGTTGGGTCTGGGTATCCCAATGCCGGAGTACTTGCCTTTTGGCTTCAGCTACTTAAGGTTTTGTCATCGTTATAGTTATACTTGCCTTTTTGCTCCAACTTTCTAAGGTTTGGAGAGTACTTGCCTTTTTGACTTCATTTCAAGTTTGAGATATTGATATATCCTGTTGGGCGGTCAGGGGCTTAATTTCATAGAGGGGTGATGCTAATAAGATCCACCGGCCTAAAAATCCGCAAAAATCCTGTCTCGCAACTGAGATCAAATCACAAGAATGCTTTTGCTTGCGCAGAACTCCTCCTCGTACTCCTGCTTCTTCTCTTGCTCTTACTCTTACTCTTATTTCTACTCCTCGTCCTACTCTCACTCCTCCTCCTCCTACTCTTGCTCCTATTCTTTGAGAGCTCAGGCCCCAGATTTTTTGCTACGCCCCCCCTGATTTTCCAGACCTTTGTTTTGAGATTGGTCTGTTCGGAATTCAGGGAAGGTTATTAAAACGATCCCTACATTGACCACCAAAACAATGAAGTTGAGATTTTCGCTGCCAGTGCCCGGTCGCCTCTGTCACTACATAGAAAGTAATGCAAGTGTTGCACATGTGTGAATTTTCCAAAATTAACTTATATGATCTGCGGGCACAACCCGCGAACCCCTTTGCAGTCCGATGTAGTCTTACGGTCAGTAAGGCCCCTCTACCGTCACAAACTCCCATGTACTGTATCTATGCATTTCTTGTTAGGGCTAGTAGGGACTGAGGGAAGTTGATCCCTACATTATATATTCCCTATATCATGTTTTTCCTTCTTCCCGACTAACCCCCAGAAAGATTCGAGCCTTTGGAATGCAGGAGCCAGCTTCCCGAAGGCTCTGAACTCGGCCTTCGTGAGTTCGGGATCAGCGACTTGCTGCAGCTGCTGCAACTTGGGGCCGAGTCACAGAATGTGCAGGGCTCGCATTGGGAGGCAGTCAGCCTTGAGTAATCCCCGCCAATGTCCCTGCAGTAGAAACACATTGGGGCTGTTTCGTGCTAGAAGAAAGGATTGAGCATTTCTTGGTTTGCCTGGTGCTGGTTGTGTGGGCATGTTTTGATATGACCTTGCAGGCCAAGGGCAACGAATGGAGAAAGAGAGTGGTACACGAATTGGCACTGCAGAAGCATGCTATCGATCCCATTCTGCTTCGGAAAGTCCCACTTTTTCCCTTGACCGATGAGGCTGGCATATGTTTGGAATACCTTCTTCAAGTTTTTGTTTTTGAGCCAAATATGCACAACGCAACGCTGAGCGGAATGTTGAGTGTCAACCAGCTGAGGATGGGGATGGGGCTGGAGCCTCTGCTTGTCTTTGGGCGGCCTGCGAGGATGGACACATCTTTCTATCCCTGCCTGCGGGTGCACCTCGAGACCTACTCAGGGTGCTGGACAAGGTGTACAGCTGCCGGGAGGACTCGGAGCTCCTGAATCTCCTTGGATGTGGGGGTTTCACAAAGTTGTGGGTCCGTTTTGGGGGTTTCTTCGCCCTTGCCTATTCAATTTGCGGGGTCACTGGCAATCTTGCTTTCGATAAATGCACAGGTGGCTGGAAAGCCCACCCGCGGGACGTTGCCTATGCCATCGTCCAGCAGAACCTAGGCTTGTCAACCACCGAGGACGCACATTTGGGTCTCTCTCTCTCTCTCTCTCTGCCTCTGCCTCCTTCCCTCTCCCTCTCTCTCTCTCTGTACAAGCAAGCCCTCTTCCTGAACAGCATGGCCTCATGCTACTCATGGTCAGTGGCAGGATACACGCTTCTCCTGGTCTAAGCTGGCATACTTGGGCCGGCATTGGGACGAAATCCTCCAAACAAGCTCTGCCACGGAGAAGTGGTTGTCTGAGCAGACTGCATCAGAAATGGAGGCCCTGCTACAAGCTGTTCTGGTGCCATCGCGCGGGGGTGGGGGCCGACTTCTTTGTGACGCGAGAGAGTTACACTGTCCTTTTTTGCTGGGTTGCAAGCCCTCGAGGGGCTTGTCCGATCTTGCAGAGCCCGGTCATGTTCTTCTGGACCCACCTGAGGCCAAAGGCGTGAGAGAGAGGTTGTGGTGGGAACTCGTCTTTTTGCGCTTGGGGGCGCGCCCATTTGTTGCCACCGTGCAACTTCCAAAGGGGCTGTTTGCGCTGCCCCCCATTGCAAAAGACCTGGGTGTGCTGTTAGACTTCTACACCAAGTCAGGAATTGATCTTAAGGATCTTCGTGGTCGATGCGAAATAGAAGATCGTTCGGGCCACTCCCGCCGTGTGGGCAGCGATCCGGAGAGCATGAAGTGGTCGCAGCGTTTGCTTGGTCCCAAGCTCTTGTCGATCCTTCACCAACGTCAAACAAGACATTTCCAGTTTGGTCACTAGTTTAATCCCCCAATATAACCCTAATATAAGCCCCAAGATATCCCCAATATAACCCCCAAGATCTCCCCAATATAACCCCCAATATAGCCCCAATTTAGCAGGCAGCTTTATCTCTTTGAGGGCATGCCTGCCAAGATCCCAGCTGGCACTCTAATCTGGATCCCCTCCTACGCCATCAGGGTTTTAGGCTTAGCATCTGTCACCACAAGCTTGGGACATGTATCAGCCAAATTCCCACTTAGGGCGTAGGGCTTAGGGTTTTGGGCTCTCCTGATAGCATATGGGAGCTTTGCCAAAAACATCTTTGAAGACTCAGCTCTGAAAAGGCCCGTGTACTTTGGTCCCTAAGGTCCCCCAAGTTGCCTCTCTGTGTGAAACTCTCGATGCATCCCATGACTTAGTGGTTCTTAGTAGGAAATAAAGGAAATAATACCTATATAATCTCTCTATAATCCCTACTCACTATATTCCTATATTCCCTCAACCCTAAACCCTATATCCTCAACCCTAAACCCTAAACCCTCAACCCTATATAACCCTAATAGAAACCAGTGAGATGACCCAGGTTCGTTGGCCCAGAGTATGTGGTGGACATCGCGGAAAGCCCTGAGCTCGAGGGTCTGGCCGTGAAGCTGCTGGCAGCTGGGCTATTCAGGGTATAGGGTTTAGGGACTAGGGTTTAGGGACTAGGGTTTAGGGGACTAGGGTTAAGGTTAGGGTTTAGGGTTTAGGGACTAGGGTTTAGGTTAGGGTTTAGGGTTCGTACTGAATATGGGTAGTCTTTGGATATAGGGATAATGGAAAAGAAAATGGAAACTACTACGCTATAATGTGGTATATGTTGGAGGGCTGAGTGTTCTGGGTCGAAGATTCAGGGTTTGGCGGTTTGGGGTTGACGATTTTTGGGGCTTAGGATTGAGGATCTGAGCTGCAGAACAACGAGCGAGTGTTGAGGACTAGGGTTTAGGGTATAGGATTTAGGGTTTAGGGTGTGGAGCTAATCATTACGGTGTGGCTGTGCGAGAATTGTCCAAAGTATTGAGCAAATGTTGGTGCCTTTGTGGACATTTTCTGTGATGTCAAGGCCGGGAGAAGGGTACAGCAACAATGAACACCAAGCTCAGTATATTGTTAACCCTAAACCGCAAGCCTCTTGCCCGTGGCAGATGTAAAAGTCCCAGCGGCTGAAAAAGCAAAACCCCAAACCCTACACCCTAAACCACGGCAAGTCCCAATGAGGCAGCTGTTCTTGCTCCCACCTGCTCTGCGCCTGGGCCCTTGTCAGGAAGAAGTTGCCCTTTCAGCAGAAATCTATGTCCTAATATCAGCCCCCTACCCCCCCCCCTTATGAATATTCCCAATATAGGATGATACACTAGAATGGGGATATGCATCCGTTTTATCATTAGGGTTTTGGGAGTTTATTATTACTTGAGGGGCCTACACACCGACTGTAGGAAATTGTTTGCAATTATTGCTCTTCTTGTGAAGGTGCTGCTGGCCCTCCTGGGTCGGGCTGCACAGCAAGGTGCCCAACATCTCCTGAAAACGTATGATTTCCTGGCAGCTGGGTGGAAGAACGGCGATCTTGTGGATTGTGAGGAGCTTCGAGAACTGCGAGAAGGAGGCATTTGGATTTTAGCTGAAGCTGGGCAGATCGTTCGCACGCTTCCCGCACATGTCGGCCGGGAAGATGTGAAGCGGATGTGCAGCGGAGGGGAGGCGGAAGAGGGACTGATGTGTTCCTGGGTTGCTGTGGAAGGAGCTTGAGAGTACAGATAAACAGCAAATGATAGGTTGCCCTTATTCTGTTACTATCAGACGGGTACATATTAAAACGATAGGGTTCCAGTATTATGGCAACTTGTTTGCCCTTCCTTAGCAGCAACTCAGGCTTTTTTGCTGGTGCTCTTGGCGTCGTGCTTGATCCTCAGCTTGACCCTGGCGCCGCACGTGAGACACGCAACAGTCCGACTAATCCTGGGAAACCAGCAAAGACTGGTAAGGCAAACAAGATGGAAGGGCGAGACAAAAAACCTGCGCAGCTAGGCCAGGACAAGCTCGACAGCTCAATGCCAGCATCTGCACAGCCAGACAGTGAGAATCGAGGAAAGTCGGGCACGAAGCTGCCACCGCTTCCAGTATTGCGTGACGGCATTGATGCGGAGGTGGAAGAGACAGGAGCAGCAGGTTCAGTGGCTCACGTGCCCTTCCGCCCATTCCTAGATTCGCTGCCGCTGCTTAGCAAGCTCCTCTCGGACATTTTCAAGGAAGGCAGTGGAGAGGAAAAGTTGTTTGGTGGAAAGGTGCCAGCCCACGTAGAGTTGCCAGTGGCCCAAATCAAATTCACGCAGACTTCCGTTGCGTCAAAGTTTATCCATGGCCGTTTCAAGGGCCGTAGAGTTGAGGCTGTTGCCAAAGACTTGAAAAACGGCAAGCTGAAACCTTCGGATTTGCCTTTGGCCGTGGTGAGGTTGAACTCCTCGTACTGGACGTTGAATAATCGGACCTTATATGTCCTGAACCACGCTGAGCGCCAAAGGGCAGCCCCACTCTTTGCATCAGTGGCCGAGTTCGACTTGTGCCCAATCACAGCCAAGTTTCTGCAGCTTCGCTACGGCTCATTGCTAAGAGATGATGCGAAAAGCATCATCAAGAGGCAAGCCCTTGACGAGTGGGTTAAGGAAGAAGATCCTGAACCAGCCAATGAAGATGCAGATGACCAACCTGTCTTCGATTCAGGAGATGAAGAACTGTTGGCGAAAGGGATGGGTACGGCAAGCTGATGAAGTCCAGCAAAGCAGTTATGGCAAGTGCTGATGACTCCAGCGGTTGGTCGTGCCAGAGTGACAAAGAGGGCTAACAGCAATCAAGCAGTGTTCGCCTATTTGGTCGTGGTGGGAGAACTGGTCCTCCACAAAGAGGGTATGTCAATGTAACAGTGGCAAGTACCTCCAGCAATGCCCTCTTGGACTGCTGCTCTTTTTAGATGGAGCAGTTTAGTTTTGCTTTCATTACTTCGGAAGTCGAGGGTGCTCTGCTGAAGACGCTTATGGTCTTTGCACTGTGGAGCTTGCCTCCCTAGACCCTAACCTGAACCCTGTGTATCCCTATTCACCCCGGTTACCCCTAGATAGCTCTACATTATCCACCCTTTCTGAACTCACAGTCATGATACCTAGAATATTGCCTTCCTGCATCTTGAGAAGAAGTAAGATCTCACACCGCAACCAGAGCCATTAGTCCCTCATCAGTGAAGATGTGTCCTACAATGTACTACGGGTCAATGACAGAAGGATAGTCCGAAGCGTCCCAGTTGGTCAGCATATGGCAGCATTCTTGTTGAGCAGACTTTTGGCGGACTTTGCGCTTTCTGCACTCTTGCTTCAACTGCTGGGTATCGGTTAAAAGTCATGTTTTTCCTGCTATGCTTTATTACAAGCGCAAGTTTCACCGCGATAGTCGCTTGTATTGGACCGTCCTCAGCCCTTCTCAGCTGGCTCCATTTCTTGGGAGTGCACCCCGCCAAAGTCGCTATGGCCCCAAAGCGCAAGGCAGCGAAGCAGTGGGGAACCTACCTTCCCACGGCGAACGGTTTACTTGGAGGGTTCGGGGGTTATTTTGGTGTGCTCATTTCCCGATGTTGTTTTTTGGGGATTGGTCTACTTGCATCCTTGCTTGAGCCTTCGTTTTCACCGCAAACCTCACCCGATGCTACATGGATGTAAATTCTGGGAACAGTTCAGTTGCTTTTATAGCCTATCGTTATCAGAGCCGGAAAAGGGACGCCGTGCAGCACAAGCATGGCAAAGCTGAGGCCTGTCGAAGAGCCCTTGGCGAAGCAGAATGCCTCTCAGCACAGACACAGAGGATTATCAGCGTCTTATGCAGATGTTTATATGAGGGTAATGGAAAAGAAAATGGAAAGTACTATATAGTATATTGGGGTTATATAGGAGTAATGAAAAAGAAAATGGAAACTGCTGTTTAGGGCTTATAGGGTTTTCTACAGCTTTCAGGGTCATGGCCTGTGTGAGTGTTTCTGGGAGATGAAGGGGCTTCTTGGGGTTTACAGATGAGCATTCCGTAGTGCCTGCTCGGAGGGTCAGGGGGACTTGGTAAGTAGGTTAATAACCCCTATGCCTATAACGCATTTAGTAACCTTGGTTATCCCCATTATTAACCTACTTACTTAGTCGCAATGACCCTCCAAGTGGTGTCCTTTTCTGGCGCCCGCTTCCCCTCTTGGAGTCAAAGTGCGGAAACTTCCGTGGTCCTGAGTGTTTTGGGAGAGGATGTTGAACAGATACTCACGTAGGCTCGTTCTGCGTGGCAGCAAGATGTGTTTGTGGAGAAAATCGTCCGTCCCACTTAGTTGCACAGTGCAGGTGGCAAAAATCCCGGCAATCCAAGCATATGAAAAATGACACCCTACATAATCTCACTCAACATCCATCGACTTTGGTGCACACTGATGCTTAGAGGCCACTATCTTGAAGAAGCACGGCGTGTCTCAGCGGAGCTCCTTGCACCACCTATTCTTGTTTCATTGCCAGTGGTGGATTTTCAGGCTTAGCGTTGGTGAGTTTTGCATTTTGCATGCAAAGCTTTTGTGCTTTCAAAACAGGGTCGCGCTTTCACCCAAAGCCACAAGTTGTCAACAAATGGAGAGTACAGCGAGAATTATTTGTTCCTGTCTGGCTTACGAAGCAACGCCCAAACTGCAATGTTTCCGCAGATCAGGCCAAGCATCATGATTTGCAGGACCTCAGGATGATGCAGGAAGCCTTAACAGCAACAGCGCGGATGTCATCAGCTTCTTTGTCACCCATCAGAAGTTGTCAAGGCCCTAGACCTTTCAAGCAGGACCTTGGAACTCAAGATTCATGAGCCGCCCCGGCGAAGATGAGACATGGGCAGTGAACAGGCAGTTTGCAAACAGTAGCGGAAACGGAAAGAAAGGCAACTTTCGAGTGAATGCTTGGCCCTTCCTGAGTCGCAAACGCTAAGCTTCGCCTTTTTTGAACCTCCTAGACCTTACCTCACACCATGCGCCAAGCAAGTTGCAGATTCCCTAAAACTGAAAATCCGAAATTCCTTTGGCGCTTGGCTTCCATCTGAAATGGTCAAGCTCAGGCTTCAACAAAGTTGCGGAGGCGTTGAGCAATCCGCTCGCTGAGCTCCCTGAGGACCCTGGATCATGATATGATGAGTTTGAACCTTAAAGTAAGCCTTTCAGTGAGACTTGCAACATAGAACGGATGTCCACAGCCGGAGTCACAGTGAGATTTACGTCGTAGGATTTTAATCGTTCAAGAGCGAGTGTTTGCAGATGCGGTGTTTGGGGCCGGGGTGTCCACTCAAACGAGGACGGGATAAGCCTTAAGTTGGCAGTACCTACCCTTCACTGTATGCCTCGCACTCCTACCCCTACGAATTGCTGGCTGCAAGCAATTGGGGCTGTGATGAAGTCAAGAGGGGTGGAAGGGAAATGAAGGGAAGGCAGTGCAAAGTTGGGAAGCTTGCTCCCGTGCTGTGTTTTTCGTGTAAAGCGGGGTCCAAGGCAAAGCTGAATCTGCTTCAGCCGACACAGCCATGAAGCCAGCAGCCTACCAACCATGCTGCCTAATCCCCTCCTCATAATATTAACCCCCCACGCCTTACCTTAACATTAAATCCTCTCCATTGTGATATATTATAGTATGTTGGGAGTACTTATTATTAGGGCAGGTGGGGGGGTTTAATATTAGGGGGAGGGGATTACTTGAGAGGACTGTCAAAAGATGCTGCTAGCTGGTTTGGCGCACAGCCTTTGTGTACCTTCAGACGAGCGCCGCGAACTTGGCTGAGCAACCGCAGGAAGCATGAAGCCTAAACGACATGCGCTGACTTAGTAGGGCAGATCATCTGCATTGTGCAGGCTCAGGTGCCGAAGTAAAACTGGCGCCGGAGCGTGAAGAACACTCAACAGTCCTGCAAAAGTCCTTGCATCTAAACGAGCGGCTGCTGTTACAGTTGCTGCAGAGTCGAAGCAAGACGTCGTAAAATTGAGTATGGTTTTTGAATCTGGCTTTAGCCTTTGTGTTGCGATGCCATCCCGTTATCAAAGTCTTGCGCCTGAGCCTGTCCAGTGTGTGTTGCCATCATGGCGGTGCAGCTAAATTTGACTACCCGATCGGATGTTGCAGGCTGTGGGGGTCAGAATTAGCCGCAGAATGCCATTTATGAGCTCGTCTGCGTGTTGCGAAGCAGCTTGATCATTCAGCGATAAGAATAATAGTAACAGTAATAGTAACAGTAGCAGTAATAGTACTAGCAATAGTAATAGTAAGAGTAATAGCAGTAGTAATAGTAATAGCAATAGCAATAGTAATAGTAATAGTAATAGTAATAGTAATAGTAATAGTAATAGTAATAACAATAGTAGTTCAGTAACAGTTATAGTCATAGCAAGTAATGGTCATAGTAAGTCATAGTCAGGAGGTGCGAGGCTGCCTCAGCACTGCAGCTGTTTACTGGTGCAGGCATCGTCTGGTACACCATCCAGGTTGTTGAAAATGGGCAGCAGTGGACGGTGAACAAGACCTATGACCAGTTCGCCCACCTGGATGCCCAGCTATCTACCTCTCCATTTGCAAGATTGCCTCTTCCAGAGAAAGGCAGGGCGGGCAAACCTCTTTCAGAGCATTGGTAGGCATGTCTTGGCATCAGCTCAAATCTTGGATATCGGTCTTGGCAAGGCACCTTTGGGTTTCGCGCAATGTTCAACATTGACAACTTCAATGAAAAGCGTCAAGCCGGCTTGGCCGGTTACCTTGCGCAGCTAGCGCGGCAGCTGCAGTCCTTGTCACAGCTGCCGCTGTTGCAGCAATGGCTGCAGCCTGCCACCACGCCAGCTTATGCGCAGCCTTATGCGCAGCCCTATATGCAACCAGGGGTCGCCACACCTGCGCCGGTTGCAGCCACGATTGCCAACCCTATAGTAACACCAACAGCAATGCCGGCTGTGGCAGTAGGCCAGGTCCTGTCGCCAGCCACCACGCCAGTTGCAGCAGCACCAGTTGCAGCAACACCAGTTGCAGCAACACCAGTTACAGCAACACCAGTGGCAGCAACACCAGTGATTGCAGCACCAGTGGCTGCAACACCGGTAGTGGCGACAACAGTGGCAGCAACACCAGCTGCAGATGTACAGGCCGTCAGTGGAATCCAAGTTGATCCATCGCAGGCCATGATGCCCACCGCACCTTCTGCGCCTGCCCTGTCCCCTGAACCTGTCTTCAATCCAGTGGTGGAAGCAGCCGCCCAACCCGTGATGCAGGCAACTGCACCAGCACAGACGGAAGCTGCACCCTTGCAACCAGTCGAGGTACACACTGCCCCAGTAGGCGCTGCCATGACCGTGCCAGCACAAGCCCTGCAGCAGGCAGCTCCTTGTACCCCCGCAGCAGTCCAGACAGCACCGGTTCAAGCACAGCCTGCTGCGGTGGCAGCACCTTCGATGGAGCAAGCCCCTTTTCAAGCCATGCCCGGTGCAGTGCAGGCTTACGCAGGGCAGTCTATGGCAACACCCCAGCAAGCGGTGCATGGACAAACACATCCAGCGCAAGCACAGCCTCTGGCGGCACCAGGTCAGGCCATTCCAGTGCAGGAGCAGGCAATGATGGCCCAAGCAATGACGGTTCCAGGGCAGGCCCTTCCCGCGCAAGGTCAGCCCCTTATGGGCCAATCTATGCCGGTTCAGCCGGTGATGAGCCAAGCAATGCCTGCTCCTGGGCAGGCCCTTCCTGTGCAAGGTCAGCCTGTGATGGGCCAATCTGTGCCGGTTCCTGGGCAAGCATTCCCCGTGCAAGGTCAGCCTGTGATGGGCCAAGCAATGCTTGCTCCCGAGCAAGCCCTTCCTGTGCAAGGTCAGCCTATGATGGGCCAAGTGATGCCTGCCCCAGGCCAAGCCCTTCCCATGCAAGGTCAGCCTGTGATGGGTCAATCTGTGCCAGTTCAGCCTGTGATGGGCCAAACAATGCCGGCTCCTGTGCAAGCCCTCCCTGTGCAAGGTCAGCCTGTTATGGGTCAAGCCATGCCCGCACAAGCGCAAGCCTTTGCACCTGGACAGAGCATGCCAATGGCAGCGCAGGGAATGCCAGCTGGCCAGGGCTTTGCCCAAGGGATGCCGGTCCAGGCGCAAGCAATGCCGGGAGCCTATGTGCAACCTGGTGCATCTCAGCGCGGATCTCAGCACTTTGTGTGGGAGAGACTGTGCGCTTCAGGGCTAGGCAAGATGAAGGCCCTTCCTAACGGTGCCGGATCTGACACGGCTGCCGAACATACTACGTAGTTTCTTTCCTCAAACGAGAGTCTCAACTCTGAGCCGCGGCCCTGGAGTGCTATTGTCATAGTAGAGCAGCAAAGAGGTTGCAAACCCTTAACCTCAAACTCTAAACCACAAACCGCAGACCTTTTCTCCCGTTCCTCTATACCCCTATATAACCCCTGCCCCTATATACTGCCATATAATCCCTACACTATGTAACCCCTTCATAGCGCCTCTATAAAAAGCCTTAAAGCCCTAAACCCTACACACGAAACCCTAAACCCTACACACGAAGCCCTGAACCCTAAACCTAAAGCCTAGGTCTGGCTTCGGCCTGAGCGACAACGCCAAGTTGGCGGCCGGCGTGGCCGGAGCTGCGAGTTTGGCTGTAGGCCTCCCACTGGTGAAATATTAATTTCGGTTTATATTGGGATTATATTGGGGTTGTGTTGGGCTTATGTTAGGTTATACTGGTGTAATATTAAGGTTGGATTGAGGGCTATATTGGGAAAATGCAAAATACAATGGAAATTATTATAATCGGCTATATAGGGATTGTAGGGTACATATATGTATATATATGGGTTATGTTGGGATAATGGAAAATAAAATAGGAGCTACTATTTAGGCTTCAGGGTTGAGGGTGTAGGGTTCAGGCTGGGGTCTTTGGTAGGTTCAGAGGGGGTATATGGGGGTTATATGGGGATATATATGAATGGACAAGGAAAATGGAAACTACTACTTAGGGTTTGTGGCTTAGGGTTTGTGTTGGGGTTCCTGTTGCAAAAGAAGTTTGGGGATGTGTTAAGGGTTCCGCTCTCATCAGGTGGTGTTTTTTGGGCTTAGCAGTTTAGGTTTGGGGGGTATCATTTAGGTGGACCCCCCGCCCAGTAATAGTGACTATAAGGGATAATAGGGACTATATTCCGGTCCTCTTGTATTCTTATTATACCACTATTACAGGGTGGGGGGTCTTCCTAAGGTATCATGACCTTTCAAGTGCTGCGTTGTTGTAGGGTACTCGGGGCTTTTGCGGTGGTAAAGTGGATCCTTGGCGTTGCCATCTTCGGTGCCAATCAGATGTAGGCAGTGCCTTTGAAGACGGGCTAGGGCATTACACATTTCCTGGCTTCATGGGAGCATGGTTACTTGTAGTGGGTTTTGGATCTGGACATGTCGCTCCAGTCCCTGCAGCATGCTGCGGGGGTTTCCCTGCTCGCTAACGCTATTGAAGGCTGGTTGCAGGATGCCAGGAAAATCATATGTATCTCTCTCGAATCACACGGTCGTGCTTTGCACGGTGGTTTCTACTCGGATCTGGCTGACGTCTTGAAGTTCGGCCAGCGAGTGATTGTTTCCGGGGCGGATCAGCATTCTAGTGGTCTGCGAGCCCGATGCGAGAAGGTCTAGCGGTGGAGGGCTGGGGATAACCCTCCAGACCCCTACCAGCAAAATATCGCTAATGATGATTGATGATAAGCATCCTCGTTATTCAAAAATACTATGAGTGTTATCTTGAGAAACCACAAACAGCTGCCCAGATTGTCTGTAGCCGCAATATGCAGAGCTTACCCTAAACCCTGAACACTAGAACCTACGTGGAGGGTCAGGGGGCTTAGTAAGTAAGTGAATAACCCTTATGACTCATATAGTAACCCTCGTTATCCCCATCATTAACCCACTTACTAAGTCCCCTGACCCCCCCAACAAGAGGCCAGATAAAGAGAACAAAGTATCAGATCTCGGTTTAACTAGATTGTTAATAGGGTTGGGTTTCCCTTAAAGGGCCCCTGTAATTCCCTAAGCCCTCAACCCTGAACCTAGACTTTAAACCTTAAACCCTAAGCCCTACACCTTGAACCCTAAACCCTCAACCCGAAACCCCTAAACCCCTCAACCCCTAAACCCTCAACCTTAAACCCTAAACCCTAAACCTTGAACCGGCGTGCAAAGCTTGATGGCTTGCCGGAGGCCTCGGGGCCATGCTGGGAGTCCACCGCCGCCTGATTTTACCGCTTCGCAGAGGGTTTTTAAGGTCGGGGTTTAGGGTGTAGGGTTTAGGGTTTGAGGTTTAGGGTGTAGGGCCGGGTTTAGATTCCGGGGTTTAGTGGGAAGATGCAAATGTTTTGGTAATAATGGTAATAACAAGAGTAATAATGCTAGTAAGAGTAACAGAAAGTATTTATAAACAAGAATAATAGTAGCAATCATAACGATTAAAAGAGCAACGTCCGATTTAAAAGGGAAGTCAGCGTTCCATAGGTTGATGTCTTGGGAGCATTGACCGTCTCCTCCGGCCTTCTAGGGGATCGAGTGCAATTGTGGGGACTCAGCGCGTTCAAAATTTAGGGTTTGGGGTTCATCAAGTCCAGATTGAAAAAGGGTTCAGGGTTCCTGACATCCAATCCGAGCTGAAACTATCTGCCTTCTACCTCTCCGCTTGTGCAGTGCTGTTGCCCGCAACTTTCACCCGAAGAAGCAGAAGTCACTTATGATTGCAGTGGCGCAAGCCATGCCGGAAGCCAGAGGGAGGATGATTGTAAGTAATTTGCATGCATGACAGTTTTACATCTCCCAATATGAGGTCGCGTATGGGGAATATTGACTACAAAGGACTGGGGATGTTTAGTGGCGTTCCTGCCATTTTGATGGCATGTGTTTTATCATCTTTCCTGCTCCAAAGTCCCCAGGAAAAGGCCACGAACATGATCACGAACACCATCACTCTGGGTACAATTCCGGCGGCTTCTCAGGCTTCTCTGGTGGCTGCAATGAGTCTTAGCTAGGTTAGGATGATGTGCTGTGCAGCTAGATGGGGATGATGTGCTGCGCACATGTAAAGAGGGCATAAAAGAGACGTGTTCTTACAAAAGCTGCCTGCAAAAAGTTTTTCAAAGCACAACGTAAATGTTTCTATACATGCGCATATACCTCCTTATTTTTTGTGGCAGCAGGAATTCCACGTCAAGCCAAGGATTGGAGCCACAACTCTGGACATTATCATTCCGAGGGCATGGGAGGCTTTGGACGACAAATCCAGCATCCCGCCGATATTCCCCTACAAAATGCGTAGTTTATTATACAATGGGGTCCTATTCCCTATAAAATGGGCAGTTTATTATGCAAGGGGATCCCTAGGTTTTACGCCAATACTGTCGGGGATAATCCAGCAGGCTCTCTGTCGCTGGACTGTTGAAACTTGGTGTGGCAAGGGAAAGCCACGGGGAGGAGTCAGAAACTCCCCTCGCTCTCTACACACATTCCTGTTTGCTCTATGTTTTCTTTGTGCTATGCCTTCGTCATTCCTCATCATCGTTATGAGTTTTATCTCCTCCCTACACACTTCCAGGATATCAAGGAGAAGCCCACAAATCCTGTCCATAATCGCATGATCCCTGTAATGTACCAACATCGTCCATATCAAGCATGATAGGACGGGCATTTTGGATGAAGTCCTCAAATTAGAACGTTCTCCAAATCAATCACCATTTTCGGATCCCTATGCAGGCATTGCGAAGTCCTGATCCATACCAGCCCTGGACTCCCACAATCGCATTACTTGCCATCCAATACTCCTCTTCAGTATCTCCGCATATTCTTCTAGGATCCTGATGCAAACCCTGCCGACCCGGCATGAGATTCTAAATGGCTAGCTGCGAAAAATGTGAACCAGAAACCTTTGAAGCCCTAAGTCTTAAACCCTGAAACCAATTATAGTTATCAGTTATCATGGTTAATCATGCTTTCTACTATTATGACCCCCTTTGTCCTGGAAGGATTTGGCTTCGGAGGAGGTTTTGGAGGCACGGAACGCTGTTTCAAGTGCCACTGGGCTTCGGCTAAGGAGCATAAGCCTCTCTTTGTCTGGAGGTTGTAAGAAGTCTTTAGGGAGGAGGAGTTCCAGAACTTTATAGGGGCTTTTTGGGGTTCCTGGCTAGGGTTACATTAGGATAAACACCGGGTGTCCACGGATATTTGGGTTTTAAAGTACTCGCGCTTGGGTCAACCTTGTGACGCCTTCTAAGGCCATGGCCGCGGCTTCTCCCATGACTCCTCCATGAACCACGACAAGGTGCTACGACTACAAGGTAGTAATCAAAAGTCCCAGACTCTGCACCCCAAGAACCATAAGCCCAAAAACCTTGACCCCGCAACCCCCCTGTCTTCGCTTGATTTTGGGTGTATTAGCGTTTGGGCGTGGAGTTAACAAGTTCCCGAAGAGGCCGTCGTGCTTTACTTGCACATTCCGCCGCTACGGCCATGCAGGTGGCAAAATCCTAAACCGTAAACCTGAACTAGTAGCTTCCATTTCATGTTCCATTTTTCTCCATCTAATTCTCCATCATTGGGCCCTACATGCCTACATCCCTACATTGCTACATGCCTGCAGGCCTGGTCATGAGCAGTATGGGACGTAAAGCTCTTTCGGGTCGTGGTATTGTAGGGAAGGAGGATTGTACAAGTATGAAGCCGTACTTCAACAGTGTAACTTCTAATGACTGGAGTGTAGGCGTGTCCGACCTGTGTTTCTTGCAGCCAGGACGAGGATGAGAGATGTTTCTTCTGCTCAGATTGCATCGGTTGCAATGGGACCGGACACATCTCTGGTGGTGGAGGTGGCTTCTTCGGGGGTGGCCACTCCCAGCGATGCTACAAGTGCCACGGTCGAGGTTTCTCGCACAACTCCTCCATGAATCACGACAAGGACTAGACATGCACGTGAGGCAATTGCCGGCCGCTACTTGATGACTAGAGCAACCTCAGGGATGCAATGTTTCAGGTGCAAGACCGAAGTGGTGCAGGTCAGGTGTAAGTCTGGTGAAGATGCATTTCTGAGCTCGCATTTGGCTGTATCTTGGTCGCAGGATGACGATGAAAGGTGCTTCTTCTGCGAAGACTGCACAGGATGCAATGGTAGAGGTCATCTTTAAGGACACAGGGATGCAGGTTGGAAACCGGTCCCCGTAGTTAGTGCCGCAACCGTCTGGGAGGGCTGGACGAAGATGGGCGATAGTTATGTAACCTGAATGCAGAGCTGCGCTGCTGTACTGTACTCTTGCTGCTTGAGCATGAGGCCAGCGCAGCCCATGCATGAAGGACATGCTTGCCAGAAGACAGGACATGTTTGCAGCTCGAGTTGTCTGCTTACGTTTCAAGCAGTTTGGGATCTCAAGCCAGGGGAAGGGTTTTGGTTTCTACTATCTCATGTGGCTGCAGACATGCATCATTATTATGTTGGAGTTCCCAAGGGGGGGGCTAGCCAACAAACGCACAGCAGAGCTGTGGTGATGATTCTTCTCCGTGACCCGGACCCCTTAGAGGATCCAAGAATGGAGCCACCCCCAAAAATGACCACCATTATTACATTGGGGAAGCTGGAGGATTATTGAGAGGTTCCATTATTTTTGGATCCTTTAAGGGGTCTGGGGACCTGTGTTTTGCCATGCCCCAGTCTTCAAAAGACCAGGGCCAAAGAGAGTCAACAAGCTACCAGCTTCCTCTGCAAAAGGTGTTCCTTAGGTGGACCCCCCACCCAGTAATCGTGACTATTTGAGGAAATAAGGATTATATTAGGATCCTTTTATCTTCCTATTATTCCACTACTACAGGGTGGGGGGTCCTCCCAAGGTGTTCCAATGACAGGCCCCTTCTCATCTTTGCTGTTGCCTCGCTCCCATGCTCCGCTGCGCCCAGGCCATGAAGTTCAGAGCCAGGTGGTCGCTATGATCGAGCAGGCGCGTCGTGCAAGCGCAGTGTTTGCTTGTTACATATTTCGTGCTCTTATGAGAAATGGTTCCAGCATCCGGTAAAGGGATCAACAGTCATGCCGAAGTTGTGCCCTTTGAACATGTTTTGGCTTGAGAGCTCTGGAAAGAAGTGCTACAGTCAGTCTTGGCTCCTGACAGAGGGCTTGCAGGGTTGGTCAGACTTCACTTGCCATGGCCTACTTTTCTGCGGCTGCCGACATGGCCGCCACTCGGATGGCAGGAGCAGACTTAGAGGATCTGACAACACTGCCTGCCTGCAAGAACTAAAAGCGCTGTTCGGGTTCGCTTGCAGCCCTGATGCTGAGATCAATAATGTCACTTGTATCATTGAGTCATTGATGATCATCATCATGGTCATTCATTGCCTGCCAGGTGGTCGCCAGACAAAATGTCACTCGTTTGAAAGACCTTTACCCCAAACCCTACACAGGGGCGACACCCTAAAACGAAATCCCCAAACTCACCGCCCGCAGATCTAAGGACGCTGTGGAAGAGCAGGACCAGATCCGAGACGAGAGTGGCAGCCCCGAGGAGTGAATTAGGGGTTGTCACATTTATTATTATTGATATTTTAGGATTGCTACTATTGTTATTATTAGTATCACTACTGCGTTTATTACAATGGTTATTTTCGTGTTTCCATGCCACGGTGTGCGTAGTCTAGATGGCCAGGATAGGGTTGGTGATGTTGTTTGCATGCATCATCTCGCCGAATCTTCAGATGTCGCTACTGCCCCGTGCCGCTCAGTGTTTGATGCAAGAAGTGTTTTCTTTGCTTGTTTTTGGGAGGACGCAGTGGCTGAGGACGAGTACGGCTGCGAGCGTGAGGAACCGCACTTGATTTCTTGCCATCATGGCCTCCCACTGGCATCCTATTTTCTCGATGCTGCTATAGTTGGCAGTATTCAGGCAAAGTAGCAGTAGAGTAGTACAAGTCAGCATCTCACGTACTCCATGAGTGTTTCAAGTCTAGCTATGTAGATTGGCCTGTACTTTATCAATCTCATTAACTTTACGTGTCTTGTCAAACTTGTCTTGCGGTTTTGAAGCGGTGTACATGTTAGGTGGACCCTCCACCCCGTAATAGCTACGGGATAGCAGTGATGATAGTCGTGTCCTCTAATTTTCCTATTTTATCCTCTATTATACCACTGTCACAAGGTGGGGGCTCCACGTAATGAATGTGACAGGAAGCCGGGCAGGCCTGTGAAGAGGGCGAGGAGGAGGAAGCCGAAGTGGAACCTGCTGTTGCTGAGGCTGTTTTTGGGGCTTAGAGTTTAGAGTTTCGGGTTTCGGGTATGATCTATTTTACCAAAGAAAAACAATGACAACAGTATTGGCGCTGATATGATACAGTAGCTTCCATTTTCTTTTCCATTATCCCTATTTAACCCCAATATTTACCGTTATACGAACAGTAGTAGTCAGTACAGCGCAGCCCGGGGCTTGTCGCTCCTGCTACTTTTCTCGCTGATCTTTTTGCTCAGTAGAAGCCTTACCATCAGCATGACAAGGATAACTAGTCTACAGATCCATCGAAGAGTGCTGACCCTAGACTAAGTACCCTAAACCCCTAAACCCCTAAACCCCAAACCCTAAACCCTAAACCCTAAAGCCTAAACCCTAAACCAAAGCAGCAGAGTCTAGAGAGGCCTTCCTTGATTCCATCAACGAGGAGCAGGCCCGAGCCTTATGGGTTAAAACTATAATATGAGGGTTTAGGGTTTTTGGTTTAGGGTTTCTAAACTCCTTAAAGGAGAATATAAAGGGGGTTATATAGCGGAAGACTATAGGGGATATCAAGGGGGATGCTAGTAGTTTAGACAATAGCTCATACAATTCTGGAAGTGTTTCTGAGGGTTTGGGGTAGTTTCCTGGTGGATAGTAGGGCAAGAATAAAAATTACATGGTTACATCATGAGTACTAACGCGATCCTGTCCTTCCTTCCTCTACTACCCACCGCTAGGCTTAGGCGCTCGCAACGTGCTCTCACTTTTTGTGCATACCTAGACCCTGGGCGGATCTAGAAAGTAGATCCCCCTTAAGGGTACCTAGGAATTACCCCCTAGTAGTATAAGGTACCAAATTGGGGGTTCTACTTTCTAGATCTTCCCAGGGGTCTGGGTAGGTGTTGTCGTTGGTGGGTTGACTTCTGCCGAGTCAGGCTTCCACCTAGACTGCCCCTAAAGAGGGTCCGCTTAGGTGGGCTTAGGGTTTAGGGTTTAGGGTAGGGTTTAGGGTTTAGGGTTTAGTTTAGTGTTTGGGGGGGATGGTTCTTTGGGCTTTCCACACTGCTGGATTTAAACATGTTCCTATACACGGTGTTCCTGTGCGATGGGTTGGTTTATTCATTGCTAAGCTTGAAACTGTGAACCCTAAAGCTCCTCAACCCTGAGCCTTAAGAGTCCGAAGGGTCAAGCATGTGGTAGTTGCCCTAAACAGGGGGGATCCTAATATAGACCCCAAAATACATTAGGCCTTTTTATGGGGACCCCCAAAATGGCACCCGGGAATCCTGACTTCCTCAGCTGTGCAGGAAGGCCAGCTTCAGACTGGCGAGGAGGAGGCCCAGAAGCAATCTACTTAGTACAGTGACGCTATGGGAGTACGAAGGGATATTGTAGTGCTATTGCATGGAACCACGAATTATTGGAATAATGGAATCACCTGGAAAAGAGAATGGACAATGAATTGGACACAGGGTGTCCATTGGGTTTATGGGGTCATAGGGGTGATTGAACTTCTTACTAAGTCCCCCTGACCCTCCAATTATGATCTGTCGGAAGTGCCTGTCATTGACTGAAGCGGAGAATGTCGGTGGAATTCTGGTGGATGCTCGGTCGGTAAGGACTTTCAGCTTGTTGCGAAGTGGGTGCTTCGTCGTGTGCAAGAAGCGCTGAGAGTTTAATATGTACTATAGTCTAAACTCAATAAAGGGGGTTATATAGGGGATTATATAGGGGACTATTATAGGGGTTATTAAGGGGGATACTAGGAGTTTAGACTATAACCCCTATAATCCTATACATAACCCTATATATAGCAGTTTCCATTTCATTTTCCATTTTCTTTTCCATTTGATTCTCCATTATTAAGGGGGATACTAGGAGTTTAGACAATGGAGGGGGCGTGCGTAGTCTTGCTTAAGTCCACAAATTCCCCATTCAGTATTCAGAAGGTCAACGTGAGGGATCATTTGGTTGAATGAAAGTGGCATCCGCGTTTAGCAGTATCTCAAAGTTGTTACCATACTCACTAATGAGGCCCTAGGATGGACCGCGCAAGGTTTCTTATCAACCCCAACATCTTTTGAACCCTCAACCCTAAACCCTATTCCATGGTCCCCACGCCTTAAGCACGAAGCCATGCTGGCAAGGCACAGCTGGACGCGGACGAGGATTGATGACCTTGGAGGGTTTAGGGCTATGGCTTAGGGTTACGTCGCTACAAGAAAAAGATTGAGAAACGGTGGCTACATGGGTCTCCATGTTAGTTTGGGGTGGGGTTCAGCCGTTAGGGTCTGACACAGGGTTGCGCAGATTGAGTCGGACTTCTACACCAATATACAGCCCCTTATAGAATCCCTAATTAGCAGGGACTCCTAGACGCCTTTTAACGGCCCCCATGCATGCCTAGGGTGCCCAGGGACCTCCGATGTAACAAGCGTTTATGTTTGAATAGAATGACTCAAGAATTTGAACATGGTGTCAACGTCAGAACCAGTCCCCTGCGACCAATCTACATATGCTGACGCGGAGGCTCCTGCTTGAAAGTCAATTATCTCAAGGTTAGCTGCACGTTCTCGAGGCTGTCAAAGGGGATGCAGGTGCTACTGCGACCGAGGAAGACTTGCGCCATCTACATGCCCTAGGTGGACCCCCCGCCCTGCAATAGTGGCGTGATAGGAATACAAGAGGACCTAACATAGCTACTACTATCCCTTATAGTCACTATTACTGGGTGGGATGTCCACCTAGCATATGCCCTTAGTAACCTGGGCACTACAGTATACTGGGGTTCCTGACTGGTGCAAGATGTCTACAGTTGATGTTTTTAGAATACTTGGGCTTAGAAATCGAGTACCTGGTTGCAAGAGTGCTTCTTCGAGTGAAGTTGCCTACTGTAGGGCCAAGATGAAAGACGGGAGAAACACATGCACAGCAATATGGACAATGAAATGGACTGGAAGCTAGGAGTAGGTGCGCGTGTAAAATATTTGGGGATTTTGGTGAAGGGCCCTAGATAATTGGAATAGGGTTTGGGGGAGACTATATTCGCATTCTACTTGCAGTTTGTGAGAGTTCTAATGAAATTAAATGCTTCGTTCGGCCTTCTGAATTGATTACACCCATGGTATGAGCTACATGCGATGGTGTTGGCACGGGGGCTTGGCATTCAGGGCATATTCCCGCGATATGTAAGTGTCCTCCTGCAAGTCGGGTCCCAAGTCAAAACATAAAGTTCAGTATATTTCATTAATTACTACTGTAGGAGCCTGAACAATCCGCCATGCTGCTCTTGACAGTCCTTGTATGCTGTATAAGGTATCCAAAGCCCTATTCTCATCATTTTGGCTTCTGGAATACTGCCGTTGGCAACCAAGTTTGTAGTGCCAATAGCCTTGTTTGCGTCTACTTCCATCGCATATGGCTCAGATCGGTTTCTATACACATTGAGCAACCGCCGACCAATGTTGTCGGCTGGTATGACGTGCGGAGCGGTGATAAAAGGGGCTGTACAGCAAAGAAACGGTCATGATTGGTTACACCACGATTTCTGCTAGGACCTTTGCAGGAACCCTGCTCTTACAAATGCTTATACCTTCCCATGTGCAGTTCTTCCCCGTCACGGACACCTGACTGGTGACGCGCAGTTCCTGTATGCGTCAAATGCCATGCGCAACATTTAGGGGCAAACCAAAGTAGGGTAACATCCCGAGGGCATGCCGCTTGAACACAGTGTAACT